GACGTGACATGTTCGTACGAACCCTTTGTACGAACAAAAGTAAGAGAAATTTAGGATAAGAATACGAACATGTTCTTGCATGAGGCCCATTGTTTCTTTACTATTCAGTCAAACAAAAATTGCATCTAAGATCAAAACTTTAAAAACAGCAATTCAATAAATAAATATGTTTCAAAGGTAAAGTATGGTTTACAGGGGTAGACATAAGGGTATTCTTCAGGTTGTCCAGTGGACAACCCGTTTACAAAACCTGGTTGTCCGCAAAACATTTTGTTTGTCCAAAAGAATCTCAAGAAAAATGTAATTTAACAACTATATTGTTCTATAGACAAAGTTTATTGTATATAATTGTTCTTAGTCAGCCAGGTTGACAGGATCTGCGTGAATAAAACTTCCTCATTCTCTTCTTTGAAATATAGTATGTAAGGCTCAGGGAGTAAAGCAGCAAAAAATGTTGCTAATAAAATCTAAAGGTTACCCAACATTCATAAACTTCTTTCTGCTCATATGTCAAACATTTTCACTTAAATAGGAGTATACTGTGTACATGACCTTATTAAAATTTAGTTTAGTGTTCTGTTCAGCTTTACCAAGTTTTTTCTCCCTTTAATTTTTACAAATGACGGACACCCGCAGCAGAGAACTTTAATCAAGGTCTTTTTTTCTTGGTTGTCCACCGGACAACCAGGAGACAAGATCTGGTTGTCCGAAATGAAAATAGGTTGTCTCGGACAACCTAAACAATGGTTACGTCTACCCCTGGGTTTACAAAACCAGTTTTCCATTATTTGCTGTTTTAAACCTTTTGATGTCAAATGTGTGACATTTATTTGTGTTTCATTGAATAATAAAGAAACCAAAATGGTTCCATAGTTCTTAAATTACAAACAACAAAAAGCCAAGCAACAGGCTGCAAGTGTTTAAACTTAAAATGACCCAACTCTAGTAGTTATGACAATCTTTTGAATGTTCTCTCAGAAATGACCCAAATGAAGAGCACTTTGTTGAATGTGTAGGGCAGAGGTGTCCAAAGTAGGGCCTGCGGGCCAAATTTGGCCCGCCAAGCCATTTGATTTGGCCCACTAGCAGTTGTCCTGGTTACTAGATTGTAATCTCGTGTCTTCTGTAGAAATACTATATTTAAACTTAGTCTTTTGTCGTTGGTCCAACTTTAGGTACAAGGGGCTGTAGTCGGATAGTCTTAACTTATGGTGCTCACTTTATCTTTGAATTATGTCGAGACTGAACTTAAAATACAAGTAACTTCAAGAGACATTTATATTAGATTTAAGTCCATTTCTAGATTTGCGCACCTTATAAGACCACACATACTGAAATTTTATATTATGAAAAGTCCCATGAGCCTTTGCTGCCCGAGCATTTGCTGAATTTTCTCCATGTCCATGGGCTGAAAAAAAAGTGGGCAACCGCACTGGCTGCCAGCTTAAAGATAAAAAAACTTTACTTGAAGTATTTGCATTTTGTGTATTATATTATTGCATTTGGCCCACCACCCTCAGATTGATTTTAATCTTGGCCTTCTCAGGRAAAATGTTTGGGCACCCCTGGCGTTAGGGTTTAAAAGAGGGGATGGTGGGTCACCATCACTTGCTCCAGCTTCACCTGTATTTATGACAGCACACCTGGGCAGGTGTTACCTTGAGAGCCTGTAGATCGCCGTCCTGCTTGAAACAATACAGGATGATGTTATTGGTCATACTGAAGCTCTCTCTCACWCCCAGGTGGTAGAAGAGGGAGGGCTGGCATAAAGAGTCACTCATCTCCACCACAGCTACATCTGAAGGACAAACAGGTGAGTTTCAGTGTAACCCGTACAGTTAAACAACTCTGATTGTCGTGTTACATGACCTCTGTGGTTGCAACACAAGTCCCCCCTCCAGCCAGCATTCCCGCACTTGCCTGCGTTGTAGAAGCTATCCAGAATGTCTGTGGTCCCCGCTGATATTCTATCAAACGAAATGGTTTTGAAACAGGCGTGCGCGTCCGCGCAGGCTTCCTTCAGACACTTGAGGGACAAGTTCTCCTCCGTCTGCGGCACGGACGCGTCCTCGTTCACAATGTACGCCACGGAAACCGCTCTGGTTCGACTCCGCGGGGAAACGTTCTGTTTACCCGAGGCGCCGCTCAGCTCCAACACCACCGAGTCCTGCCACAAACTTCCAGCCGACATGCAGAGGCGATCCTTCCTCTTCGGCTCGCGCCAGCTCATTCGCCTGCGCTCCGTCGTGTACATTTTTTCTCTCTCTCTCTCCGGTGGTTCAGCTAAAAGTTCAACGCATGACCTCTACTTTGAAGTGTAGTTGTAAAACAAAAAACAAACAAAAAAAAAGGAGGCAGTGCAGTGGCGTGTTCGTCTGAAACTCCCAGGTGCGCCACCCGCCTCCGCGGTTAGTCCCATATCCCCACAAACACTTCCCAGCACTCCTCCCCTCCACGGGACACGCCCTTCTTTCCTCCACTCGTCCGCGAGCCAGAAACTCATGACGTCAGTGCCTCCACTTTCTTCTGCTCCGGAAAGTGATTACTCAGCCTTTTCTGCTGCGGTGATTTCCAGCTGCCATGTACTGTACAGTATTGTGCAACTTTTAAATACTTCTCTGGCCTTTGGCTGTTTTCCATATTTTTATGCAGTATTTTTAAATAACAATAACCCATACAAATGTATGGAAACCAAT